TATAACAGCTAATTAGTCCACACAGCAGTACAGAGGGTTCAGTTCAACTCACTTCCCTGGAGTAGTTAACATACTGGAGGTCTTTCAACTCATGTGGGCTGCCGGGTCCAAAGTCAAGGAAGCACACAGCAGAGTCCTTCCTGGGGCAAGGCAGGCAGTCTACCTACAAGCAGCAAGCAGCAGGGTGAGTCACCAACAGTTAGTAGCTTTGGAGCTTATCAAAGCAGGCCTGGATGGGATATCGAATGCAAGCAATGCAAGGCCACAGGATCCACCAGCCTCAAGCTTGAGTGATGTATGCACCAGCAGTGTGACAAAGCAGGTCTCCACGGAGCCTCAAGCTCTAGCTACATGATCCACGGGTTGACCTGGCCCACAGGTAGTGTATCTCATAGGCTGAGGCAGAGTAAAAAGCTAAAGCAGCAACACACATGCTCCAGCATGCTCTTTGCAGATCACCGGGGGGTGGGGGTGGGGTGGGGGGGGTGGCCTTGCAGAGCCACTTATATCTTTGTCCTCCAATCAATCTGTGACCTGATTAATCCCACATATTCCTATTGACCAAGTTGGCAATAAACCTAACTCAAAATTGCAAAAACTGGACAATAAAGAAGGCTGAAGGCTTTAAATTACGGTGTAGGTGAAGCTTATAAAATATCCTATGAACTTCCAGAAGAACAAACAAATCTGTCTTGGAAGAAGTATGCTCTTTAAAAGTAAGGATGGCAAGACTTCATTCATCTCACATGCTTTGGACATGCTATAAGGAGGGACCAGTCCCTGTTAAGGATGTTATATTTGGTAAGGCAGAGGGTCAGTGAAAAGAGAAATACCCTCAACTAGCTAGACAAAGGCTGAAACAAGCCTAGCAGCAATTATGGAGACTCGGCTCTGTTGTACACACGGTTGCTAGGAGCTGCCAACCACTCAGCAAAAGCGTCCATGGGCATGGCCTTACTGTGGGACCAAGTAGAATGAAATCCTTAACAAAGCCAATATTTCTTAGTCTATCATGATGTTGGGCTTCAGTCTTTGATCTTCATCAGCAATTGCTTTAGATCCTCTACACCTTGACCAGGCAATGCTATGTCACGTACATACCACCAGTTGTTAATGGACTTCCTCCCATTCTAATGCTGTGTTCTTCTAGTCCAGTTTCTGGAATTATTTGCTCAGCATATAGATTGAATAAATGTGCTGAAAGGTTGCAACCCTGACAAAACCTTTCCTGACTGCAGTACCTCCTTGTTCGGTTCCAGTGATGGCATCTTGGCCTAGGTTCCACATAAGCACAGTTAACTTCTGGGATTCCCATTCTTCTCAGGGTTTGTTATGATCTGCAGAAGCAATTGCCTTTGCATAATCAATAAAATATAAACATTCTTTCAGCCAAGATCTATCTGACAGCAACAATGACATCCCTCTTGCCATATCCTCTTCTGAATCCATCTTTGATTTCTAGCAGCTCATTGCCAATGTACTACTGCAATCATTTTTTAAGTCAGTAAAATTTTACTTGTGTGCTAATATTGTTCAATAATTTTTACATTCTATGCATAATCTTTCTTTGGAATGGTTACAAATATTGAACTCGTCCAGTCAGCTGTCCAGATGCCTGTCTTCCAAATTTCTTGGCATAGATGAGGGAGTGTTTTCAATGTTATATCTGTTGGAACATCTCAATTGGTATTGTGTCAATTCCTGGAGCCATGTTTTTGCCAAAGCCTCTGGTGCAACATGGCATTCTACCTTCGGTACAATCAATTCTCTTTACTCATTTTATTGGGAGCTCATATAACTCTTCATTATATGAAATCTCCTGAAATGATTGAATGTTGACCAACTCATTTTAGTAAATTAACTGTGTTCCTTCTACTTTTTTTGATGGTGGAAAATTAACTTTATTCAGTAAAATATTTATAGTGACCAGGTGTTTATATGTTCCGGTAGATTTGATTCTCAAGGTCTTTATTTTTTTTATATCAGCATCCAAAGAAATCCCAACTCTTCCATCATTCCTGATTTCTTTTTTCCTTCTATCTTCTTTTGATCCTTCCTGGCACAGTCAATATTTTGCCGATAGATTCCTCCAATCTTGCAGTTCAAGACTTACAGTTCCCCCACCCCAGTTCTTTCAGCTCGAGAAATGCCAAGTTTGTTCTTGTTTTTGATTTTCAAACTCTAGGTCTTCATACATTTCATGATATGCTGCTGTGTCTTCTCAAGCTGACCTTGTCATTTTGTAATCTATGGTGGTTTGTGTGTTGCTGTGATGCTGGAAGTTATGCCAGTGGTATTTCAAATGCCAACTGGTATTTCAAATTTCATGGTGGAGCGGTTTCAGAAAGCTGCCAGACTAGGAAGGGGAGGACCTAATGATCCACTTCTGAAAAGCTTTGGCCACTGAAAACCATATGACTAGCAGCAGAACGTTGTCTGGTATAGTCTAGTAACTGAGTCTCTCAGGTTGGAAGGCACTCAAAATACAGCTGGAGAAGAGATGCCACCTCAAAGTAGAGTAGACCTTAATGGCGTAGATGCAGGAAAGCTTTGGGGACCTTTGTGATGGAACATAACTCAAAATGAGAAGTAACTACAAACATCCATTAATAATAGGGCTATGAATGTACAAAGTATAGACCTAGGAAATTTGGACGTTCTCAAAAATTAATGGAAGGTTTGGAGGTAAATATCGCCCCCTGAAACAAAATAAAACAAAAGGCCAAGGGCCAACTATAGAACAAAATGACTATGCAAATGCATGGGACTCTGTGGATCATAAGAAACTATCAATAGCCTTGGGAAGAATGGGAATTCCAGGATACTTAATTGTGCTCATGCAGAGCCTACATGTAGACTAAGCAGCAGTCATTCGAATAGAATGAGAGGCATTCGAATAGAATGAGAGGAGACTAAATGGTTTAATATCAGGAAAGGTGTGTGTCAGGTTTGCATCCTTCGAACACGTATTCAATCTGTATGCAGAGCAGTAACCCCAGAACCTGGACTATAGGAAAAAGAATGTGGCACCAGAAGTAGAGTAAGGCTAATTAACAACCTGTCATATGCAGATGACACAACCTTGCTTGGTGAAATAAAAACAGACTTTAAAATACTGATAAAGATCAAATACTACAGTCTTCAATTTGGACTATGCCTCATATAAAAACCCTCATAACTGGACCAATATCACAATAAATGGAAAAAAGATTGACATCAAGAATTTTCTTTTACCTGGCTCCACAATCAGTGCTTATGGAATAGCGATCAAATGACAATGTCTTACATGGAGCCAATCCTCTGCAGAGGGCCCCTTCAACGTGTTACCTACAGAACAGGATGTCACTTTCAGGACTGTTATACCCAACCAAAATTATGATATTTTCAATGGCTTTATATGCATATGAGGGGCCCGGATGGTTACTCATTGGACCACCAGTTCCTCCTCAGGAGAGAGATGAGGCTTCCTACTCTCATAAAGAGTTCATCTTGAAAAACCCACTGGGGCAGTTCTAGCCTGTCCTATAGGGTCACTATGAGTCGGCATCAACTGGATGGCAGTGAATTTGGTTTGGGGCTATATGCATGTAAGAGCTGGACAATATGTAGGATCAGAGAATTTATGCCTCTGAATGATGGTGTTGGCAAAGAACGTACCATTGACTGCCAGAAGAAGGACGAAACACTGCCAGAATGTTCCTTAGAAGCGAGAATGGTGAGACTTCAGCTCACGTACTTTGGGCATACTATCAGTAGAGACCATTCTCTGGAGAAGCATATCGGGCTTGGTAAAGTAGGTCAGTAAAAAAAAAGGAAAGCCCTTAACAAAATGGATTGAACCAGTGGATGTAACAATGGGCTGAAACAGAACAATTCAGAGGATGGTGCAAGATCAGGGTTTTGTGACAGGGACAGAGCAGGGACTTCTGCCTGCTCTGACAAGGGGCTGAACAAAGGACTGGTGAGAAGTGGCTTAACTTACACCTTAACCTTGAAGCCAGGCCCTGGTGAAAATTCCAAGCCAGGATTGTCCTAGAAGATAATTCTCAGACATGTTGGCCCAGAGCAGCAGCCCAATAAAACTGAAAGAAACAATGTCTGAGACCCAAGGACTGAAGGCACAACTGATTACACAGTTGCTTGACCATCTGCATATCACAAGTTGTTAATTAGCCTTACTCTCCTTCTGGTGCCACATTCTATTTCCTATAGTCCAGGTTCTGGGGTTACTGCTCTGCATACAGATTGAATGCGTGTTCAAAGGATGCAAACCTGACACCTTTCTTGCAAGCAACCTCCCGTTTGAGCTCTGGAGGGCAGACCCTCTCCTCTGTCGGACTGAAATGTATCTTATCTATGCTTAAAGTATCCTCAGCTTGTGAGAGAGGCTTGCTTTATTTCTTTTGAAGTGGCTTAACTCTTTGCTACTGCTGCTGCTGTGTGTGTGTATGCGCGAGAGCTTGGCTTCTCTCTGAACCCTGACTGTGAGATCCAGCCCCACATCCGGATGGGTCCTAAGGGATGGGTGTGTAAATTAAGGAGACATGAGACAAGGCATGCAAGGGTCACCTCTTCCCTGGTGACCGGAACCAGAATGAGGCAGTAATGTATTCTCTCACAGTTCATATAATCTCGGTCATGCAAACCACAGTAAGCACATACGTAACAGGAGGGGTTGTATTAGAGTAAGGTAACCAAATGTCCCGCTTTTGGC